AGACCATCCTGGTCAACATGGTGAAACCCCGTCTCTACTAAAACTACAAAAAATTAGCTGGGCATGGTGGCACGTGCCTGTAATCCCAGCTACTCAGGAGGCTGAGGCAGGAGACTCCCTTGAACCTGGGAGGTGGAGGTTGCAGTGAGCCGAGAGAGATCGTGCCTTGCATTGCAGCCTGGGCAACAGACCGAGGCTCTGTCTCAAAAAAGGGGGAAAAAAATTAGCCAGGCCTGGTGGCATCGTGTGCCCGTAGTCCCAGCTCCTCAGGAGGCTAAGGCAAGAGGATCTCTTGAGCCCAGGAATTGGAGACTGCGGTGAGCTATGATCACACCACTGCACTCCAGCCTGGGTGACAGAGCGAGACCCTGTCCAGACAAAATCCAAAAACCAAACAAAACAACCCAGAATAGACTGTGGACATTAGTTGCTAACTCAGTTGACAGCAAGCCTGTGAAACTGGTACTATTCCTGGCTCCGTTTTGCAGTTGAAGCTGAGGCACAGTGGGCTGATGCTGCTGCCCCAGGCCATAGAGTCAGTGGTAGTGAGAATGAGTAGGATATAAGAGGCAGCTCTGCTTGTGGCTGTCTGTGAGCGGTAGAGTGAATGAATAGACCTTGGCCACACCCCAGAGACCACGGGACTTGGTGCAGAATAATGACAAAGTAGGCAAAATATCTCTATGTTGTGGAGGGCCGGGCATGGTGGCTCATACCTGTAATCCCAGCACTTTGGGAGGCTGAGGCAGATGAATCACGAGGTCAGGAGATCGAGACCCTCCTGGCTAACACGGTGAAACCCCATCTCTACTAAAAATAAAGAAAATTAGCTGGGCGTGGTGTTGTACGCCTGTAGTCCCAGCTACTCGGGAGGCCGAGGCAGGAGAATCGCTTGAACCCGAGAAGTGGAGGTTGCAGTGAGCTGAGATCACACCACTGCACCCCAGCCTGGGCGAGAGTGAGACTCCATCTCAAAAAAAAAAAAAAAAAAAATCCATGTTGTATAAAGTCAGAATAGAGGTTGCCTTTGGGGAACAGGATGGTGGGCGATGGAGAGAAGAGGTGTTTTGGATTGCAATGAGTACAGAGTCTTGATCTGGGCAATACTCACACCGTAGGAATAGATTGAGTTGGACTCTTTGGAGTTGTGCACTTTTCTGCATGTTCTTCAGTGACAATTTTCTTTTAAAAGAAAGAAGGTATTTTAAAGGGGAAGAATTACCTAATATGGGAAGTTAGGGAAGATTTCTGTGAGACATGGAAACAGATACAAAGCTGAAATCTGAAGGATTGCTAGGAAGGCACTGACGTGGCAAAAGGTGGAGGAAGAGTGATCCAGCCAGACACGGTGGCTCACGCCTGTAATCCCAGCACTTTGGGAGGCTGATGCAGGCGGATCACTTGAGCCCAGGAGTTCAAGAATAGTCTGGCCAACGTGGCAAAATGCCGTGTCTACTAAAAATACAAAAATTAGCCAGGTGTGATGACGTGCACCTATAATCTTACCTACTCCAGAGGCTGAGACAGGAGAATCACTTGAACTCCAGAGGCGAGGTGAAGGTTGCAGTGAGCCGAGATCGCACCACTGCACTCCAGCCTGGTGACAGAGTAAGACTCCCATCTCAAAAAAAAAAAAAAAAAAAAAAGTGTTCCAAGCAGTGGTGACATGGTAGCAGTGGTGGGGCTCTGAGGCTGAGAAGGTAGGGACTCTGAAGAACTGAAAGAAGGCTGAAGAAAGCTGGAAGACAGGAGCACGAGGAGTGTGTGTGTGTGTGTTGCATCTGTGCGTATGGTGTATCTGTGTCTGTATGTATGTTGTGTATGTTATGTCTGTGTGTATGGTGTATCCGTGTCTGTACGTCGTGTGTGTGTGTCTGTGTGTAAGGGTGGAGCCCCAGGCGAGGATGGGGAAGTGGGCAGGGCAGTGGTGTGTGGGGCAGGGCAGTGGTGTGTGGGGCAGGAGGACAGGAAAGGCCGCTGGCCCTGACCGCTTCTGTTTTGTTTTTTTTTTTTTGAGACGGAGTTTCGCTCTTGTTACCCAGGCTGGAGTGCAATGGCGCGATCTCGGCTCACCGCAACCTCCGCCTCCTGGGTTCAGGCAATTCTCCCGCCTCAGCCTCCTGAGTAGCTGGGATTACAGGCATGCGCTAGCTACCATGCCCAGCTAATGTTTTGTATTTTTAGTAGAGACGGGGTTTCACCATGTTGACCAGGATGGTCTGGATCTCTTGACCTCGTGATCCGCCCACCTCGGCCTGCCAAAGTGCTGGGATTACAGGCGTGAGCCACCGTGCCCGGCCGGCCCTGACCTCTTCTTTAGGGATCACTGCCATGTGGTGAGCAGGGGGACCCCTGTAGTCCTGGGGAGTCAGATGGAAGGGACGTCTCAAGATGAGATGGTTTCCAGTGCTAGGCAGGAGGTAGCATAGGACTTGGTGGTCTGTTCAGGTGAAAAGCGACCCCAGGTCACTGGCATACGCAGTCAGGGTGCCGCCTGCACCTGAGAGGCCAGGTGAGCATGTGTCCTACAGGTGGAACAGGACTGGAGTTGAGGTGTATGAGGATACTGACCGGTAACCCACATTCACAGTCCGCTATTTGCCAGACCTCAGTGGATTAGTGCCTTTGACGTTCCTCTCTCCGGACAACCTCCGATTCAACCATAGCACTATAGGAGTATAGTCCAATACCAGAAAGCACAAGCCCTCTTCTTCCAGTACAGTGTCTGACCCTGTAGCCTGTGCTGTGGACGAGTGCCTTTGAAAACACTGTCCATGTCTATGGAATCCTCAGTCAGGATAGCTTTGGTGTGAAGTTATAATGCTAGAGGAAAACATATCTACAGAACCTTTCCAGAGCTAACCTTGCCTCCCTCCATTTCCCCTGCTTCTGTTATTTTTCTGACAGGCCAGAAGAATGTTTGAAGGGGAGATGGCAAGTTTAACTGCCATCCTGAAAACAAACACAGTGAGAGTGCCCAAGCCCATCAAGGTTCTGGATGCCCCAGGCGGCGGAAGCGTGCTGGTGATGGAGCACGTGGACATGAGGCATCTGAGCAGGTGGGTCTTCATAACACCCTCCTGCTGGCTTCACACCATCCCCCCCCCACCCACGCTGGCTTTATTATCTGAGCCGGCGCATCTTCACACCGGCCCCAGCTGGCTTTATTTCCCACCAAGTGGTTCTCTGATAACTGAAGCTTGTACTGGGGGCACCATTTTGAGGCGTGTGACACAAAGAACCCCATGACTCCACATATCATGAGTTCTGCAGAAGGAAGAGCAGGCGCTTCTTGCAACCAAGGGCAGTAGCAAGAGGAATCTCCCAAAGTGGGATACTGACCAAGACTCTGCTGTGGGCCGGATGCTGTGGCTCATGCCTGTAATCCCAGCACTTTGGGTGGCCGAGGCAGGTGAATCACGAGGTCAGGAGTTTGAGACCAACCTGGGCAACATGGTGAAACCTGTCTCTAGTAAAAATAAATTAGCTGGGCATGGTGGTGCGCCCCTGTAGTCCCAGCTACTCGGGAGGCTGAGGCATGAGAATCACTTGAACCCGGGAGGCAAAGGTTGCAGTGAGCTGAGATCACACCACTCGGGAGGCTGAGGCATGAGAATCGCTTGAACCCGGGAGGCAGAGGTTGCAGTGAGCTGTGATCACACCACTGCAGCCTAGCCTAGGTAATAGAGCGAGACTCAGACTCAAAAACGAAAAACCCTGCTGCAAACTTGAATGAGGCTGGGAAAGATTGTCAAATAATCAGCACCTTTATCCCCCTCATGCTTTCTGTCCTCAAAATGTTCAACCTAGTGTCTGGGCACGGTGGCTCACCCCTGTAATCCCAGCACTTTGGGAGGCTGAGGCAGGCAGATCAATTGAGGTCAGCAGTTTGAGACCAGCCTGGCCAACACAGTAAAACCCCAACACAGTAAAAATACAAAAAATTAGCCAGGTGTGGTGGTGGGTGCTTGTAATCCCAGCTACTCTGGAGGCTGAGGCAGGAGAATGGTTTGAACTCTGGAGGTGGAGGTTGTAGTGAGCGGAGATCATGCCACTGCACTCTAGCCTGGGCAACAGAGCGAGACCCTGTCTCAAAAAAAAACCGGAATGTTTGGCCGGGCATGGTGGCTTATGGCTGTAATCCCAACACTTTGGGAGGCTGAGGTGGGTGGATCACGAGTTCAAGAGATTGAGCAACATGGTGAAACGCTGTGTCTACTAAAAACACAAAAATTAGCTTGGCGTGGTGGTGCACACCTATAGTCTCAGCTACTTGGGAGGCCTAGGCAGGAGAATGGCTTGAACCCAGGAGGCGGAAGTTGCAGTGAGCCAAGATCACACCACTGCACTCTAGCCTGGCCTGTGGAGCGAGACTCCATCTCAATAAAACAAAAAAACAGGCTAGGTGTGGTGGTTCATGCCTGTAATCCCAGCACTTTGGGAGGCTGAGGCCGGTGGATCATGAGGTCAAGAGTTCGAGACCAGCCTGTCCAATATTGTGGAACCCTGTCTCTACTAAAAAAAATTAAAAAATTGGTCGTGCATGGTGGTGTGCACCTTTAGTCCCAGCTACTCGGGAGGCTGAGGCATGAGAATCACTTAAACCCAGGAGGCAGAGGTTGCAGTGAGCTGAGATCGTGCCACTGTACTCCAGCCTAAGCGACAGAGTGAGACTCCGTCTCAAAAAAATAAAAGTTTGCCCCTCTTTATGTGCCCTGAGACTGACTGGTGAGTGTGTCTCGCCTTTCTCTGTGTCATCTGTTTAGTTGCTGCCTTTTGCTTTGACAGTCATGCTGCAAAGCTTGGAGCCCAGCTGGCCGATTTGCACCTTGAGAACAAGAAGCATGGAGAGACGCTCCTGAAAGAGGCGGGCACAGTGGGTATGGTGCTGCGCTGCTGTGGTGCTCCTGTTTAGAGGAGAACGTTGAGCCAGTGTGGGCTCGGAGGCGGGGCTGTGCAGCGGCCGTGGGAGGGTCAGACGTGTGATGATACCAGAGCAAAGGAACGTCAGCCCTGAGCCGCATCTCACAGTGCACTGAGCACTGAATGTGATGAGTGTGTGTCCTAAATGCATTCGAAACACGGAAAACGTTTGCTGGACACGAGACCTTCCCTGGTGTTACAGTTGCTTTTACCTCTCCTTCCCCAGATGAGTCTAAGCAGAGGTCCTCTGGCTATGTTTAAAGAGCAAGACCTTTAAGCACAGGGTCTCTCCTTGTAAAACAGTCATACTTGAGGCTCAGAATTACAGCCGTCCTGTCTGACCTTTCTGGAGTGTAATGCGCTGTCAGGATTGAGGGAATTTTCCGGTATTTTAATCTGCTGACATTCAGAATCTGTGCAGCCCATGTGGTAAATGTGAGGCAGACGAGCTGCCAATCAGAGCAGATAACTAAGGATCTTCTGTATGAGGCATGCAGCTGGACAGTCTGTTCTGTGAGGGTCCATGACGGGCGCCCCCCAGGCCACCTGTCTGGTGACATCCACTGAGAGGCCCCCAGGCTCCCTGTCTTGTCCCTTCTAATCTCAGAGGGTTTAGTCCATTGGGATTTCCCTTGAGTTAGGGAGACTGCAGAGGAGTGAGACGATTTCTTTTTTTCTGAGATGGAGTTTTGCTCTTATTGCCCGGCTGGATTGCAGGGGCGTTATGTCGGCTCACTGCCACCTCCGCCTCTTGGTTTTAAGCGATTTTCCTGCCTTGGCCTCCCGAGTAGCTGGGATTACAGGTAGAGAGGGTGTTTCGCCATGTTGGCCAGGCTGGTCTTGAACTCCTGACCTCAGGTGATCCACCCGCCTCAGCTTCCCAAAGTGCTTGGATTACAGGCGTGAACCACCATGCCCAGCCTGAGATTATTTCAAAGCACAGGAGTCTATCTGGCATACATGGCAGCAGATCTGCCACTGAGAGCCATTCCTCCTGATGGATTGGGGGCAGATTCTTTTTCTTCTTTATTTTATTTATTTATTTATTTATCTGTCTATCTATCTATCTATCTATCTGTCTATCTAGAGAGGAAGTCTCACTCTTTTCCTCTAGGCTAGAGTGCAATGGTGTAATCTTGGCTCACTGCAACCTCCGCCTGCCTTGGCCTCCCAAAGTGCTGGAATTGCAGGTGTGAGCCACGGTGCCTGGCCTGCTTTTTATTTTTTATTTATTTATTTATTTTTGAGACGGAGTTTCACTCTTGTCGCCCAGGCTGGAGTGCAATGGCGTGATCTCGGCTCACTGCAACCTTTCCTCCTGAGTTCAAGTGATTCTCCTGCCTCAGCCTCCCAAGTAGCTGGGATTATAGGCGCCTGCCACCACACCCAGCCAATTTTTATATGTTCAGTAGAGATGGGATTTCACCATGTTGGGCCAGGTGTTCTCAAACTCCTGACCTCAGGTGATCCGCCCACCTCAGTCTCCCAAAGTATCTTTTTCCTCTTTAAGAGGGCCTTTCTCTTTTTTTTTCCCCTGACAGTGCGTGGTCCTCCCCCTCGGCCCCATGTGTCCTGTTGGGATGTGAGACAGGTCACCTGAGAGGTGCCTGTGAGCTCCCTGTCCTGTCTGCGTCCTCTGGTGCCACTCCTTGGGAGCAGCTAGTGTCTTTGATGCCAACGTGCTGGAGCAGGCCCTGTTTCGGGTGTTCTGTGGGTTGGTGGAGACCCAGGCCCTGTTTGTCTCTGGTGGGGGCATAAGCTTGTAGGAGTTCACTGAGGTTGTGTCTGAAGGTGACTCAGTTTTGAGAGTGGTGGCTGGGATCCCTTGGAACTAACTCATTTTTCTTCTTTTTTCTTTTGCCTGGAAGGGAGGGGAGGTGGGCAGGAGGAACGGCCGTTTGTGGACCGGTTTGGATTTGACGTGGTGACGTGCTGTGGATACCTTCCCCAGGTGAGTGTATTTCACAGTCAGGTCAGCTGTTCAGACACAGTGGGGGAGGCACACCCCCTTCCTTTTTTTGTGAGCTTTAGTAAAAGTATTTGCACCATTTTTTGTTTGCTGGTGTTTAAGAGGTTGACATGAGGTTGACCCACCTAATGTGCTAGGTAAGCATGAAGAAACCAAGGAGGACCAGCAAGTTAGATGCTGAATTTTAAGGTGGGTAAAAATGAGGGACTGTAACAGATGTTTTCTTTTAAATATACTAAACTCTCAAAGAGAGTGGAATGACGAGGGTTTGTAACTTTCAGTTGTGTGATTTTATGGTTGCTTCCTTCTGCATTTCAGCCTGGGAAATTCTGCTTGATGCCTAGCACGTGTGGAGTGGACAGGGTGCTGGCTTCTTGGGAGGGGGATACAGATGAACCTAGAAAACTTTCTGGGGTTTGCTGGCGGGCACAGGGGCAGTAGAAAGACTTGGAAATGTAGGAGGTTGTCCAGAAACTTGCCGAGGGGCCAGGAGTGGCACACTCTGATCCTGCCTGCTCTGGGGGGTTTTGTAGCCAGGTGTGCCCCTTCCTGTCGTGGCTGTCCTCACACTTTGTGTGTGTGCATATGTGTACGTGTGTGTGCATGCCTGTGTGCGATGTATGATGCTGGCACCATGACTGCTCCATGTGCTGCTCCGGCCTTGTGTGTCTGTCTCGCTTCCCGGGGTGGTGAGTCCCCTCTCGGGGGCACTGTGTGCATATGTGTCCGTGTGTGTACACACATGACTGTGTGCGATGCATGATGCTGGCACCGTGACTGCTCCATGTGCTGCTCCAACCTTGTGTGTCTGTCTCGCTTCCCCGGGTGGTGAGTCCCCTCTCGGGGTCCTTCTCAGCAGGGCTCCATGTGACCTCTTGTCATTGCTGTCTGGGGAGAGGCTGTCTCAGCAGATGCCAGAAGTGAGCCCTGGGTCAGGCAGCTCTGGCCTTCGTACTTCACTGTGAGTGCAAATTAAGAGGAAATGTTAGCCACTTGGCTTAGCAGCAAAAAAACCCCAATTTTTTATTTTAAATAAAAAAGCGAGGCTGGGCACAGTGGCTCATACCTGTAATCCCAGCGCTTTGGGAGGCCGAGGTGGGCAGATCATAAGAGATCCAGACCATCTTGGCCAACATGATGAAACCCTGTCTCTACTAAAAATACAAAAATGAGCCAGGCGTGGTGGCACGTGCCTGTAATCCCAGCTACTCAAGAGGCTGAGGCAGGAGAATCCCTTGAACCCAGGAGGCGAAGGCTGCAGTGCGCTGATATTGTGCCACTGCACTCCAGCCTGGTGACAGAGGGAGACTCCATTTCAAAAAATAATAATAAAATATAATACAATAGAAACAACTTAAAAAGCCCTGGTGGCTCATGCCTGTAATCCCAGCACTGTGGGAGGCCTAGGTGGGAGGATCACTTGAGCCTGGGAGTTTGAGACCCCTTTCTAGTAAAAATACACAATATGAGCAGTTGTGTGCCTATAGTTCCAGCTACTTGGGAGGCTGAGGTGGGAGAATTGCTTAAGCCTGGGAGTTCAAGGCTACAGTGAGCTGTGATCGTGCCACTGCATTCCAGCCTGGGTAATAGAGCAAGACCTTGTCTCACAAAAAGAGAGAGAGAGAAGAAGGAAGGAGGAAGGGAGGGAGGGAATGTTCTAGAAGTATTCGTTCTTGGAAGGCTACAGAGTGGATCCTGAAGCATCCCCGTGCTTCCCACTGCTCTTGGGATAGGATCTGAGGTCTCA